TGGCCGGGGCCTGGGCTGGGTTTCAACCCACCACCCTTGGTATATATGGCTGGCACCCTACCCACTGAGCTACGGGTGCCGCCAACTTATAGAACATTTTTATCAGCCCAAAAAGAAAGTCTGCACCAAGCCAAGTGTTGTGGTGGGCGCCTGTAGTCCCAGCTACTCAGGAGGCTAAGGCAAGGAGATCACTTGAGCCCAAGAGTTTGAGGTTCTGTGGAAGTCTGCACCCATTAGCAGTCTCCTCCTACCTGCCCCTGTCCTGGCAGAGCAAACGCCAGTCACCTTCCTGTCTGGATGTGCCGGTCCTGGGCATTTCGTGAGTGGAATCACAGCACGTGGCCTCTTGTGCCTGGCTTCTTTCACTCAGCATAACGCTTTCAAGGTTTGCACACGTCGGAGCCGGTGTGAGTACTTCATCCATGTACGGCCAGGCGACATTCCCTTGTGTGTGTGGAGAGCACACCACACACGCTGACAGGCACAGGGTGGTGTCCACCCGTGGGCTGTTCGGATGGACATCATGTGCGAACATTTGTGGGGCTGTGTTTTCACTTCTCCTTCGGGGGAGCCTAGGAGTGGAATTCCTGGGTCATTTGGTAACTCTTATGTTTAACTTTTTGAGGACCTGCCCACCTCTTTTTGCACCCGTATTCGCAGGGTGGGAAGGTTCAGTTTCCCTACATTCTCCCAGCGCTTGGTACCGTCCGCTTTTTACTTCTACCAACATGAGTCAGTGTGCAGTGGTTCTCACTGTGGCTCTGCTGTGTATTCCCTGGTGACTAATGACATTGAACATCTTTTTATGTGCTGACTGGCTATTTATGTAGCTGTGGAGAAATGTCTGTTCACATCCTTTGTCCGCTTTTTGGTTGGGTCACTTGAATTTTTATTGTTGAGTTATAAGCATTCTTTGTGTTTTCTGGGTCTAGACCTTTATCAGATGCTGACTTGTGAATCTTTCCTCCTGTTTGGTGACTTGTCTTTTCTCTGTCTTGATCGCGTCCTTTAAAGCACCAGAGGTTTTAGTTTGGGTGCTGTCCACTATCTCACACTCTCATGATTGTTTCCTTTGGTCACTTTTCTTGTAAGGCACAGGAGTGGACACACTTTGCAGAATAGTTTTTACACAGAGAGAAACATCTTAGAGAATAAGTCCCTCTGGGTTGCAGAAGGCTGTCAGTTTAAGGACTCAACCCTCTTTTTATCTTGATGGCTGTGTGTGGCATTGTCCCCAGAGGACACCCCATGTGATTCACCATCTTAGAACCCAAGGCCCCGGGTGCCCTGCTTGCTCTTGGCCATGAGGACTTTCCCCTGCACTTGTGGTTGACGCTGCCTGGCCTGTGTTGTCCTGCAGGATGCCCATCTCCACCATCCAGTGTGACTGCTTCTGGTCTGCCTTGACTGTGAGATCCAAACCTTTGGGGCAGGGCAGGGCAGGACTCAGGCCTCCCCCTGTGGCCCCACAAGGCCTCTCTTGCCTCCTCCTGGGCTTGGCCGAGTCAGATTGTCTCTCTGCCTGGCTCCAGCACTAGGTCCTGCTGGCCCTGCCTCTCCTGGCAGTTAGCAAATGCCCACAGCCATCCCTCATGAGGCTATCATCCCAGGTGACACCAGGCTGTCCCCCTATGTCCCCTGAGCCCGCTGAGCCCCCTGCTGCTGTATGAGGCCACCACACCCCTCTTCTCCCTCCCTTGGGTGGGGTCCCCTTCATCCCCAGCATGCATGGGGCTGGTTCAGGTTCCCCTTGGCTGTGTGGCCCCCCTCCTTGCTGTCAGGGGCCTGTGCCAGCAACCCTGTTTGCTTAAGTTTCCCTCAGTGCTGGGCAGGGCAGCTCCCTGCCCCCCAATATCCTGTAGGAAGTGTGTGTGCTTTCCACCCACTGGACTGGGAATCCAACCCTGGGTTCCCTTGTCCATCCTTCAGACTCATTCTGTGCCTCCCAGAGCCTCAGTTTCTCCATCTGTAGAAAGAACGTGTTTCCTGCCTCATAGGGCTTTGGTATGCCTGGAGTTCGTGTGTATGGCCTCTGCCCTTTCTGGAACATCTGAGCTCATGCATCTGGAATGAGGGCCTTGCAGAAGGGGGTCCCAGGGTGCTATAGACAGAAGCCCCCTACTCGCTCATCATGAGCACCCACTAAGTGCAGGCTTTAAAGGCTCATGTGGCCTCAGCAGTGTTCCTGACCAGAGGCAGCGGGGCCCACAGATCAGATGGCTCCCCGAGCAACTGCAGGGCCTTCTGTCTCCCAGAGCCATGTTTGTGCCCTTAGTCAGCAGCCAGGAGAGTCAGCAGGCCCAGTGCAAATCTGGGGACACTCAATTAGTGGTACCCCTCACCCCTGCCCGGAAAAGAGCAACTGAGTTCATTTAGTGTCAGCTGCTGCTTGAAAGGAAGGAGAGAGGAGGCCCAGGGAGCCCAGGGGCAGGACAGAGCTGCCACCAAGTCAGGCTTCACTAGAACCACTCCGGGTTCTCCAGCCTTGGTGAGCTGAGGGGCTGCTTGTCCCTAAAGCCTTGTTCAGTCCTCTTTCCCTTCACCTCTGTTCACACCCACATGATCGCCCTGGGAGAGGGACCAAGGGAAGCTGCCCTGAGCACCTGCTCACGGTCCTTGCGGCCCCTGGAACCCTCCTGCTCTACGTCCAGGCAGATCTCCACCCACAGGAGAGGATACTGAGGTACAGACAGGTTTGGGGTGTTGTATGGCATCACACAGTGTGCCTGTAGGCATCATGGCTTACTTCTCAGCCCTGATGTCCTGAGGGGACTCCTCCAGACCCCCCTGGACCAGTGATGGACAGGTGTCAGGATGCAGGAGCCATCTCTGTCACAGTCGCCGGGGTACTGGCTGCCTCAGCCCAGGCCACTGACCTCATTGGACTGCACTTAAGTCCTAGATCCCAGTCCACATGGCACTGGTGCGGGCACCAGCCCTGAACTGGGCCCAGCCTGTAACTCCATCAGGAAGACAAAGTGTAGCCATACCAGAGGGGCTTCTAAGAGCCAGAGCACCCACTCAGCTGAGTCTAGGGAGTCAGTAAGTTTATTGTCATCAAATTGAAGTTAAGATAGTTGACTGTGGCAGGAACAGCTGAGTTTAAACTCCTGATAGCCAGAAGCACAGAGGGAAGTATGGGAAACCTACAGAAAGTGAGCCTTTTTCAGGCTTTTCTCTTCTATTGCTTTTGAAAAATCTGTCCAGTCCCCTCTGCAGGTACCTGAAATGACTGTGCTGGTTGACACTGGGCAAAGTGGTCTGGGTTGTCCTTGGGGAAGCCAGTGGCTGTTCCATGATCTTCAGAAACTTTGGTCAGAATATTAAAAGCTCTTACTGTTGGTTGTAAATGTACAGAGAAATGAAAAAGAAAGTATAGTAAAATGAATTTTGTATTTAGTATATTGTCGTTGAAAACATTAGGTATATAATAGTTGGACAATGTTTGCCTGTTCACGTTTTACTAATTTGCTACACTGTCATCTCTTTCGGACAATTCCTCTTTCACTTACCTGTTTTAATAAAACATCACGGCTCAACTGGCTAAGGCGCCAGCCACGTACACTTAAGGTGGCGGGTTCGAATCCCCAGCCTGGACCCGCCACACAACAATGACGGCTGCAACCAAAAAATAGCCGGGCGTTGTGGCAGGCGCCTGTGGTCCCAGCTACTTGGGAGGCGGAGGCAGGAGACTCGCTTGAGCCCAGGAGTTGGAGGTTGCTGTGAGCTGTAATGCCACAGCACTCTACCCAGGGGGACAGCTTGAGGCTCTGTCTCAAAAAATAAAAAAATAAAAAAATAAAACATCACCTGTTTTTATCATTGGGAAGCAAGGAGGCAGCACAACTACAGCCTTTGCTGTCTGTGCCTGAACAGCTACAGGCCACAGGGACCAATCACAGACCAACTTTAAAAGAAGTGATGCAATTGGTCCTGGTTGTCCTTTGCATCTGTTATCTGAACTGTGATTTGTGAGCTAGAAAGCTAGTGGCAGAGCTTGTGCCTGATGCAGTTGCTCAGTTAATGTGCTGGAGAACTGAAATTTGGGCCACATTGGGTGACTGATGTTGCTTACGTAAACCTAGGTAACAAACTCATATCAAAACTGGGAAGAAGGAGGAATGCCTGTAATTCAGGACCAGTTAGAAAGTTTTCCCAATGAGAATAGCAACCTAAAAGTAAGGATTTCTGGTGTATTTGCTGCAGAGCAAAAGGACTGTTGGTGAGGTCGAGTCTCAGGCCTCGACGTTGACAATACCTGTGTGATTTCAGTCTGTGGGTGGGAGAAACTGTCAGTATCAAGTACAAAAGACAAGGTTCAGTCCCATGTGGCCTTGGGCTGTAGTCACCTGCCTTCATGAGCCTCTCTTGCCTCCCCTGTGAAAGGGGATCCCTGATCCCATGCCTGCCACTGGGTCGGTGAAGACTGGATGAGCTTCTCTGGAATAAAGGAGGGAACACTCTGGAAGAAGCTCTGCAAGGTTCTAGAGAGGAGGAGCCCATGCCAGGGCTGGGGCAGGTGGAAGAAGGAAGTGAGCTGGCCATTGCAGGCCCAGCCCTGCCAGGTGTCTGCCGGAGAAAGTACGAGACACAGCCCCCTTCATTTTCCCTGTGGGCCCCCTCAGCTTCACGTGAAACAGGTGCAGGGATGCACGTGATGAGCCACAGCTAGGGACCATGGAGGCCCAGATGTGCGGCCACCTGGAGCCCTGCACCTCTGGATGAATAGGGCTTGCCCACCTTGCATGTTTTTAGGCTGAGCAGGTTGGTCTCCTGCTGCCCACGAGACCCCACCTCACTGCCTGGGTCCCCCCATGCCTGCTGAGTGATCTCTAACTCATTCTCCTTTCCGCTCCTACCCATAGGCAGCTGCTGAAGACGGAGCTGGGGTCCTTCTTCACGGAGTACCTGCAGGTGGGTGAGCTGTGCTCCCTAGACAGGCTGGGTGGGCTTCCTTAGCTGGCCAGAAGGGATGGGGGAGGCACCCACTCCTGTGGGTAAGGGGCACTAGCTCCACCGCTGTCCGCCTAGAGTTCCGAGGATGCACCTCTCTGTGACTCAGTTTACCCACATGCTCAGTGTGGACTGTTGTAAAGGTTAATATAATTAAAAGGTGCTGGCCACATGATGGGCTCATCATTACCTGACTCCTCCACCCAGCATGTCATCCCAGATGTCGTGTTTGGGTCTGCACGGCCCTGCGCCCTGACCCTTATGGTGATGATGGTCACGGTGGCATCAGTATCCCCCAAGGCCTCTGTCCCAGGTGCTGCGGCACTTGGTATTCATTGCACGCCCCCACCCCATCGCCAGACCTGTGCAGCCGATGAACTCACAGATCCTGGGCTCAGAACCTGAGGTTACAGGGCAGGGTCAGGGAGCCGCAGTGCTGGGCCCTGTGCAGTACTGAGCCCCTCTGCAGGCTCGGAGTGAGACGTTCACCTTGCCCAGCAGGTGAGCCGAGAATGGGCCTTTGGTTCCTCATAACACATGAGTTTGGGGGTTTTTTAATAATAATTATTTAGCAGCTTTATTGAGGTATAATTCATATACTATACTCTTCATCAGCGGTTTTCAACCTGTGGGTTGCAACCCATAGGAACCGTATTAAAGGCTCACAGCATTAGGAAGATTGAGAACCACTGATTTAAAGGGTACAATTTAAAGGTTTTTTTTTCTTTGTGTAACATAGTCTCACTCTGCCATCCTAGGGTGGAGTGCTATGTTGTCATAGCTCACAACAACCTCAAACTCCTGGGCTCAAGCAATCCTCTTGCCTCACCCTCCAGAGTAGCTGGGATTGCAAGTGCCTACCACCATACTCGGCTAGTTTTTCTGTTTTTGATAGAGACGGGATCTTGCTCTTGTTCAGGCTGATCTTGAACTCCTGAGCTCAGCCTCGCGGAATGCTGGGATTATAGCCATCACACCCCACCAATTTAATGGTTTTTAGTATATTCACAAAGTCATGCAGCCATCCCCACTATCCAATTTTTGAACTTTTCATCAAAATAAAATGATGCCCCCCCCATCCCTCCCCAGCATGAGGCATCCAGTGTTCTACTTCTGTCTCTGGACTCGCCTATTCTGGAGTCAGGCAGTGTATGGCCTTTGGTGTCTGGCTCCTCTCACTGAGCATAACGTCTGCAAGGTCCTCCCAGTAGCCCGAGTCAGGATGTCATTCCTTGCATGGCTGAATAATGTCCCATTGTACGGATGGACCACACGTCACTTAACCTCCTCCTGTGTTGGTGGACACTTGGGTTGCTGCCACCTTTCAGCTGTTGTGAGTTGTGCTGAGACTGCAGGATTTCGGGCTCAGCCACGATGCCCAGGCAGCGTTCCACCAGGTGGCCAGCCTGGCCTTGGTAATTAGCCTCCTGCCTCTTGCTTCGAAGGCTTTTCTTCACCGTGGGTTGTGCAAGGCCCCCAGTGCAGGGGACTCCACATTCAGGTGTCCTTATGGCCACCACCTCTTTCTTGACAACCCCAGAAAGGTTTAGTCGTGGCCTCCCAGGGTGAGCTCGGCAGCAGCATCTATGGGACCTTGGCGAGTTGCTTCCCCCATCTAGGCCTCAGCTGTTCTGTGAACTCCTGGGGACCCTGCTGGTCAGGACACTCCAGGGCGCCCACAGGGCAGTGACCCGCCTCTGTGTTTACCTTCAGAACCAGCTGCTAACGAAAGGCATGGTGATTCTCCGGGACAAGATCCGCTTCTACGAGGGTGAGTCTGGAGGCCCAGGGACAAAACCATGTTGTGTGCTGCTGTGGCTGCTGGGCTTGCTGGTCACACTTGGTGCCAAGGGGCAGTGGCACCAGGGGTGTGCCTGCTGGGAATCGTGGCATGGCCAGACTTCACCTAGGTCCCCAATTGCTCTAGGTGGGAGGTGCAGCTCTGGCCAGGACTAAAAACAGCCTAAGGGAGCAGGGCCAAGATCTGTTCCCAAGAGAGGGCCTTGGAGGAGAGTCTGTATCCTAAACCTGCTAGAGCTTAGGGAGGTCCCTGCTTCCCCACACTGTGCATGCCCATGGGCTCTCTGTCCCCGAGGAGTCCTGTCCCAGAGGCCTGAGGCGGGTGCAGTCTGGGTTTAGGGGGCTTGGAGGGCAAAGATTGCCCGGATACTCACAAAGGAAGGGGCAGGCAGACATTTGTAGCTGTGAGGGGGCCGCTGACCCCAGTGGTGAGTGGCTAGGTGAATTTCTCTTTCTCGGATCACACTCACCCTATGAGGCCTTCAGGTCATTGTTCCCAAATGGGAACAACATGGTGATGATAGGCAATCGTTCTGCAAGTCAGGAAAGGCAGGATTTCAACACCCTTTATCCTTCTAGAGGCCCCTGAGGCTCTAGCTGTCCTTTCTGCCTAGCATAGGCTCAGCAGGGGGCAGAGGCCTTAGCCCTCTGCCAGGTCCTGGCACCCTCAGGCTTCCAGGGTCTGAGGGGCTTGGGGCAATAGCCAAAGTGTGGGCATCCTTGCAGGACTGAACTGGTGTGGGGAAAGGTCAGATGAGGGGAGGGCTCAGCTCCGACCAATCCTCCCTAGTTCAGGGAGTGCTGCGTGCCAAGCCTTGTGTGGAGTCAGGTTCCATGGCCATTTGTTGAGCACCTACTATGCACCAGGCAGTGGACAGGTGCATACTCTGTGCCAGACTCTGTCTGCTAACCCATCTGATGCCCCTTCAGCCTTGTGCAGGAGCCACGATGTTTATCCCCACTGAACAGGGAAGGAGAGGTGCCCACAGGTTTGGTATCCAGCCAAGGCACCACATGGCTGCTCCATGGCGGAGCCAGTGTGAAAAACGGGCAACTGATGTTCAAGCCCATGCTCTGCTCTCCACTGCTTCAGGTTCCCCCGTGAGCCTTGCACTGATCCTGGGAAGAAGGGGTGCTAGCCCATTCCCTGGAGGGGGACACTGAGGCCTGGAGGCCCGGCTTGCTCCAGGTGAACTCAGAGCTGCCTGTCCTGTGTTCCTTCCTCACCTGCACTGTGCACAATGTGTGGGGCAACCATGGCAGGAACAGAGAACGGCTGTGAAAACCGTCAACCTGAGATGGGGAGGCACAGGCAGCCAGAGGTCTGGGACGGCTTCCTGCAGGAGACAGCATCTGAGCGAAGGCTGTGGGCATTTGGCACCTGAGGAGGATGCCCTCCCATGCCCCTCTCCCGACTCAGCACATTCCTGGCCGTGCCTGTGCCTCCCACCAGCTCCAGCCCAGGGGAGCCAGGATCGCTGGAGAAGGGCAGCTTTGTGTGGCATAGTGGAGCTCAGCCCGAAGCAGCCGGGCCTCACGGTGGGAGTGCCTGCCTGGCAAAAGGAGCAGAGGGCAGCCCTGGCAAGCCCTGCATTAGGGTTCAGCCCCTCACTCCACCTCGCCAGCCCTGGCTAACCTCCCCAGGCCTCAGGGCCCTCCCAAGGCTGGGAGTCAGAGCCTTGGCCTCCAGCTCCCAATTGCTATACACATAGCATTTCCTCTCTGGCCTTGGTACCCCATCTTAGAGCTGTGGGGTTAGACAGGCTCCAGGCACATGAGGGCTCACTACATGTCAGGCCTAGGCCACCTTTGGGAACCCAGAGATGGACCAAAGTGACAGTCTAGTGGGATAAATGTCAGGGGGAAGGGAAGCTCTGGGGAAAGAGGAGTTAACTCCACACTGGCAGTCGGGGCTGGGCTCCATGGAAGTGCTAGCCATGTAGCTACCTCCATACCCTGAAGTGTGGCCCCAGCAGCCTCCCCTCAGTGCTTGCCACACAGGTTTGGGTCCCTGTGGGACTCTTGTAGAGACTGCGTGTCCCCCTGGAGGGGGTGGATGGAGGAAGGCTGGTAGCTACAGGTGGGGCAGCCCCATGACCTCGCTCCCTGCCCCTTCTCTAGCCTCCAGGGAGGTCTTGGATGTCAGTACCCGAGCAGAGCGATTCCTGGAAGTGGGAAGCTTGACAGAGCAGCCTGGAGGCAGAGGGCCCCTCCCCTAGGAGAGGGTGGAGGGCTGGCTCACATCCGAGGCTGTGGTCTGCTGGTCTCCATGAGGCGGCTTACGGGAATCAGCTCCAGCCACAGCCAGGGTGACTTCTTAGCAGCCAGAATCTCAGGGGCTCTGAGGAGGAGCCTGTGGTCCTCTGCTGACCCCAGGCCACGGGATCTGCATCTCTCATCCATCAGGAAATCCGAACTTGGTTTAGGTCATGTGAGTAGACCTGCACCCCCAGTGGCCTTCACACATCCTCCTCATGCCTGTGCCATGACCAACCCCTGCCGCACACCCAGGCCCTATTCCACTGGAGTCCTTGCTGGGGCCTTTGTCACTGCCCTGTGGCCCTCACAGTGCCTGGGTCTTCGTGGGCTATGAGACTTAAGCCAGATCAGCCCATTTTGTTCAGGGCCTATACTGACGGCCCTTGGCACTCTCTGTCTGCATAAAGGAGGTGCAAGAGACACACACTGACCAGCCTGCCCGTGAGGGCCAGTGCAGACCACACCACCATGAGGGCTGGCCACCTGCTAGAGTCAGTGCCTGCCAGTGCCAGGCCCAGGCTGAGGCACGGTGCACACGCACGCCCAGCCACGCCCTCGGGCAGCAGACTCTGGGCACTGGATCATTTCCACTTTTAGCCTGCCCACAAGGGAGTGTTCATCACCCCTATTTTGCAGAAGGTTGTAACCACTGAGGCTTGGCTCACGGAGCTTCCTGGGTCCCACAGTGATGCTGAAAGCAGGGCCTCAGCCCCGTGCCTCTGATACACTGAACCCTGACAGCCCCCCTGTACCCCCGAGGATGGTCCCCAGTAAAGAGTGCTGCCAGCAGACAAGGCTGCCCTTCCTGGCCTCTCGGTCAGCGTGTGGCCCAGCTGGGCCTGGATCCTGTGTTTTACAACATCTGCTTTCCGCAGTGTTTCCGCCCTGTGGGCTGGAGAACGGCCCACACTCAGCAGAACGCTGGCCTGGCAGGTGCCCAGAGCCACCCCGTGGTTGGCCCAGGGACTGAGCCGTCTTTCTTTGTGCCGCAGCGGCACTGAGGGGACTTTGTGTGCTGGCGCAGTTCGGTGGGGTGTGAGCATCTGCCCATCGCGGGCATTCCTGCCAGCCTCCGGTGCCTTCGGAGCCAGGTGTGGACCACCTGGGAAGGCTGGGAGTGGCTGTTGGCCACACATGGGCCTCCCGGTCCTGCCCTTGGCCCAGCTCCCTTCCCAGTGTCCTCAAGCACACACAAAGACCCAGGGCTTTGGGGGGAGGAGGGGCCATAGTCCCAAAGAATGTGAAGAAAAGAGAGGGGAAGGCCCTTGTCTGTCCTCAGCATTCCCATGGAAAACTTGAAGTAATTCTGGCCTCACCTGGGGGTGTCCAGCATGCGTATTGTCCCTCACTGGAGACGCTCATAGCAGCCCAGATTTTTCCAGCCATTTGCTAGTCTAGCTTCCTGGTGGGGGCCCTTCTAGGCAGCAGAGGCCTCAGGGACAGGTGCCAGGGCCTGCTCAGCCCTGGGCCCAGCAGCCACATCCCAGCTCCTCTGCTCTATCCAGGCCGAGGGCTGGCAGTTCTGCATGTCATGTCTCCCAGTGGAGCCTAGAGCCAGCCCAGGGCACCTTGGCTATCCCCATCTCCCAGGGCCAGCAGAAATGGCCCACAGACTTTATCTCCACACCTGCTCCCCACCTCTCTGCTTCAGAGGTTCACGTGCCAAGACATGCCCCACATGCCGTCCATCTGACAAGCCCAGCCCCCATGTCCTGCCTGGACAGCACCTCCTCCAGGAAGCCCTCCCTGCCTATTTCTCTCCACCCCGTCTCCTCCCCAGACATGCTGCTGTTGGACGTGGTCTTTGTGGTTCCCCAGGTCTCACCTCTGACAGCCAGGCTGGCCTGGTCCTGGGCTCTTGGGGTCGTTCACTGTGGTAGATCCTCTTCTCAGTATTCAGGGGAGGTCGCCTCTTGCCACTGTCCTTGTAACTGCTGTCCAGTGTCTTGCTTCCCTATTGCGTGTTGGGTGCATTCCCCAGAGTCAGGCCTGGCCGAGTAGGTGCTCAGTGAGTGTTATGTTTGGGGACACATGGGTGGTAGATGAGCCCCTCTGTTGCGCAGTGGGGTTCTTAGGAGGGTCCCATGAACCTGGGACGGGAGCTGGAGCTCCTGGTGAGGGTACACGTTTGTTGGTCTTGTGGGTAACAGTGGCACAGGGACTGTCACCTGCCATCTGCTGACAGACCCTGTGCCAACTACTTTATGCCATAGCCTCATTTTGTGCCGTCATTTATGGTAGGTCTGCCCTGGTACTGTCCCATTTTATAACTGGGGAGGCTGAAGTTAGGCGGGGGCCCCGGGCCCAGAGCTGCCATAGGATGGGGTGGATGTCGACCCTAGGCCAGTGCCTCAGGACCCAGGCTCCCGCAGCCCGTGTCTGCATCCTCTGGCCTGTCTTAGGTGAGGGGAAGTGTCTGCCGGAGCCAAAGCCTTTTGGGGCTGGGCAGTGACATCCCCCCCATGCCCACAGGACAGAAGCTGCTGGACTCCTTGGCAGAGACCTGGGACTTCTTCTTCAGTGACGTGCTGCCCACACTGCAGGCCATCTTCTACCCAGTGCAGGTGAGCCCCAGGGGCCTGCGGAGGGGCATCTGCTCCGTCTGTGCTGTCCTCCAGACTGAGCTCGGCCATCCCTGGGCCTCTCAGGACCTGTTTCCTCACCTGCATCATGGAGATAAGTACACCCACCAACACATAGTAGGGGCTCTGTGTGACTTGACAGAGGAAACTAAAGTATGTCCCCTATCCTTGGGGCAGGCTCATCTGAGGGGTGCTGGGGCCCTGAGGATCAGCAGGTACATTCTCCTGTATCTGGAGGAGGGGACAAGGCCTCAGGTGACACGCAGATCACTGTGTCTGCAGGGAAAGGAGCCATCGGTGCGCCAGCTGGCCCTGCTGCACTTCCGGAACGCCATCACCCTCAGTGTGAAGCTGGAGGACGCGCTGGCCCGGACCCACGCCCGCGTGCCCCCTGCTATTGTGCAGATGCTGCTGGTGCTACAGGTGGGGGCAGGAGCCGTCAGTGGGCACGGGGTTGGGCAGTGGGCCATGGTGCCTCTGAGATCAGGCTCCCCCTAGGCAGAGCCTGAGATGGGGCTTTGTGGGTGTGACTCATAGGTGGGGATCCTCTGGGGAAAAACCTGCCAGGGAGATGGAGGCAGGAAGACAGGTTCAGGACAGAAGACACCTTGGCCTGGACACACCTGACCCCGCAGGGTATCTGGGAATGTGGACGGGTCCAGAGCTGCTCCCCTCAGTGCCAGTCAGACTGAGGTTATGGTATGTGCATACATACACACACACACACACAGTGGCCCCAGACATCTGTCCAGAGGACTTTTTTTTTTGAGACAAGAGTCTCACTGTGTCACCTCGGTAGAATGCTATGGTGTCACAGCTCACAGCAACCTCAAACTATTGGGCTTAAGCAAGTCTTTTGTCTCAGCCTCCCAAGGAGCTGGAACTACAGGTGCCCACCACAATGCCTGACTATTTTTTTTTTTTGGTTGTAGTAATTGTTGTTTGGCAGGCCCAGGCTGGGTTTGAACCCACCAGCTCCAATGTATGTGGCTGGCACCCTAGCCACTGAACTATAGGCACCGAGCCCCAGAGGGCTTTTATAGCAAGGACTGCTCTGGGGAGGGGCTCCCATCATGGTCAGTGGCTACATTCTGAGCAGCAGGGCTGAGGGTCCTGTCCCAGAGAGGAGAGAAAGGGGCTGCACAGCACCCAAGCCGGTACTCACAGTGTCCGAACCAGGTGCTCCCACACATGCTGCTTCTGAGCCCTGTAGGGGAGGCAGCACCTCTGAATCCCCCTGCACACATGAGGGGCAGGCAAGAGGACAGCATAGCAGGCAAGGCACCCACGGGGTGGAGGTTTTGCAGGTCAGGGAGTTGCACTGGGTGAAGGCTGGTGGGTACTCCACCTACCCATGGGACTTTAGGATTTCACTGTCCTAGTCTGTGACATGGGGGAGGCTGGGTATGAAGATCTTGGCTCCTGAAAGCTGGCTCTGTGATCTAGTGACCACCTGGACTGGTGGCCAGGGTTGGGCCAGTGCTGTCCCTTGGTGATCAGTGTCCCCTGTGCAGCTCCCTGGGGTGGCCCCTGCTATCCCCAGACTGTACCCTCCTGCCCCTTGTGGGTGAGCCCCTGCAATTGCCTCATCACTGCCTTGCCCTATTTTGAATGACCTGGTCTCCCAAAGAATCTTCCCCTGACCTTGTCCTGGTGAGCTCAGCTCTGCTGCCTTCATGACCTGGTGGGTCTGAGGTCACAGCTGCTGGTCCTGTGTTTGCTGGTCCTCCCGTGTGTCCCATGTTTCACCTCAGTGGGGTTCTGATCACAAGAAACAGTGAGCCGTAGCTGGGGCCATCATCATCCTGTCCAGCCATAGGCAGAGATGATTCCAGGGAGGCTGGGATCCTCCACGCTTGTCAGGTGGCCTTACCGAGGGGGCTTGTGGAGGCCCACCCCCCTCCTGTCAGCTCAGGCTGGGATACAGGGGCTCCTTTCCCAGGCTTTGACTTGAGTAAAACTAGAGGTAGGTTGAGCCCTTCCAAGCTCTGGATGAGGGAGGCATCGGGAGGTAGGGACATGGCCTGTTCCTGAGTAAGGGGAGGAGTGTGGGGCACAGGAGTGTCTGAGGATGGGCTTTGACTGCCCCACGTGGACCCAGACCTGGGCCTGTCCTGCCTGTAGGGCCCCCGGGGAGAAGATGAGTGCTGGGGATGCCAGCAAGCAAGCTTGGCCCTCTCAGGGTGGGGTCAGTAGGTGTCCTGAGGGACTGCTACAGGGGCAGGGAGTGCAGGGTGACCAGCTGCCTTTGGCTACAAGGCTCTTTTCCACCAGGCCATTGTGGTCTCCCAGCCCACAGGGACTGCTATATGTGGCTGGCAGCCACCGAGGGTGTTGGGCAGTAAATGACTCAGGCCACATGCTCTGGAGAGGGGGCAGGGACAGAGGGAGGTGCTGTGCACCCTGCCATGGGGCAGAGACCCTATGGGAGTAAGAAGGGAGGCTGGGCTGGCTGGTGACCCTCCCTCAAACTCTTACAGGGGGTGCATGAGTCCAGAGGTGTGACTGAGGACTACCTGCGCCTGGAGACACTGATCCAGAAGGTGGTGTCACCGTACCTGGGCACCTACGGCCTCTACTCCAGTGAGGGGCCCTTCACCCACTCCTGCATTCTGGGTAGGGCCCGCCTGGGCTGGGTACGGGTGGCCAGTGGGCTGGTAGGCACGTGAGGCCCCACAGCAGAGCCAGGATCAGCTTTCCATGTGAGCAGAAAACCTGCCCTGCTCATTCACGGCTGTGGCGTGTACTGGCCTGGACATGGGGATAGGCTGGGCGGGCAGCCCCACAAGGGCTCCTCATTCCCCAGGAGGGGACGTTTGTGCTCAGTGACTAGAAATTGGCCAGGCAGGGCCTTTTCCACATACAAATGCCTGGAGCCTGAGAGCTCCCTGACCCACCAGGGAACCAGAGGGAGGGGAGGGCTGAGGTCTGGGTGGGCAGGGCAGAGTCTCATAGATGGAACATCTGGGGCTGACTGGTATGTCCAGCAGAAGCAGCCACCAGCCCCGGAGACCAAGCCCCACCCTGACAGGCTTTAGTCCCTTAGGTGAAACAGACCAGTGAGTTCCCAAAGTGACTGCTGGGGTGACAGACAGGAACATTGCAGGCTGAGGAGACAGTTGGTACATAGGCCACTTGGGAATGTGCCCCCATCCTACTGGTATACAACCCACTCCCAATGTGTCTCAGCTCAGGCAGCGTCCTGAAGCTGAGGGCAACTTTGGCCACCCAGACTTTTTGTGGCCCTGGACATTGGCCCCCAGCCTGGGCCAGGAAGGACCCTTTGCTTCCCCAGTCCAGGAAGGACCCTTGAGGCACGCACTGAGTTCAGCCCTGACACCTGGTGGTCTCTTCTGGGACTGCAGGGTTGGTCCTGAGTGGGAACCAGAAACCTGCCCCTAACTGGCCTCAGCCACCAAGGCCACTGCCTCCTGCCCCAGTGACTGATGGGGCCTCCTCACCCGGTACAATCCCATCACTGGGGATAGACTCCCAGCCTGCCCTTAAGTCAGGCCTTTCACACCTGCCCTTGCATGGCACCATATCCTGACCCTGTGGCTTGCCCACATAACACACGGACCCCAGGGGACCAGCTCTGAGGGCAGGAGCTTTGTCTACCTAGGAAAGTGCCAGCACCTCACAGGCACCAGGACCCTTAGGTTCCACAGGTAGGGAAGCTGAGGCCCAGAGGGGTTATGCAGATTCCAACCTGGGCCATTGACTTGAGGCCCTACAAAGGGTCACTGGGACCTAACCTGCCATCAGGGCTGGGAGCCTGCATCCATCCCCTGGCAGGTGGGCCCTGGAGGGCCAGACCCAGAATCCAGGTCAGTCAGGCCTTCCCGGGAACAGGCCAATGCACAGGTGCCAGGGTACGCTGGGCAAAGGAGAGGGCAAGCAGGTGGCCATCCTGCCCTGTGACTGTTGTATCTGTCTCTCCAGAGAAACGCTTCCTGCGCCGCTCCCGTCCCGGAGATGTGCTGGCCAAGAACCCAGTAGTGCGTTCCAAGAGCTACAACACGCCACTGCTGAACCCCGTGGCCGAGCACGAGGCGGAGGGCTCGGCATCCGGCAGCACAAGCATCCGCAGGCATTCCGTGTCCGAGATGACGTCCTGCCCCGAGCCCCAGGGCTTCTCTGACACACCCAGCCAGGGCCCTTCGGGGGCCTTCGGGTCCTCCCCGGCCCCCCACTCGGGGCCCTGCCCCAGCAGACTGTGCCCACCCAGCCAGCCCCCGAAGCAGGGCCCAGGCCCGGCCTCTGGCTCCCTGCCCACCTCCAGCCCTGAGCACCTGGTGGACCAGATCCTGGAATCCGCAGACTCGGATTCTGAGGGCATTTTCATTGACTTTGGCCCTGGCCGCAGCTCTGGTGTATCCGACTTTGAGGGTCCTGGGGGCCGGCAGAGCGTTGTGTGAGGGCCTTGGGGCTGGCCTCACATTTTTACTGAGCCCCACGTGTGCGTGTCCTTGTGGTGTGTGCGTGCGAGACTTTTATACTGTCCTGGCTAGTCCTCCCATCGGCCTCTTCACTGGCCTCAGTCACTTTATACTTCTGGGTCTTTGTTGGAAATCCCTGCTCAGCCTACTCAGCCTAGGTCTGTTTGGGGATGTCTGTCTGCATCACCCAGGTGCACAAGTCAGCCTCGTGGTGTGGGCGGGATCACTCACTCCCGCCCCAGCCCTCCAGCCCACACCCACCCACAGAGAATGTAAACCGCTGTGTCCTGCCCATGCCAGGCCCCAGGAGGCCCAACTCCAGCAGACCTGCCCCTGCACACATCAGACCTCACTCTGGGCTGCAGCAGGGCCACAGTGTGTGGCTGTCTCAGAAGCCTGCTAGCAGCCTGTCCACCCTCTGCCAAGGGGCAGCCGTGGGGACAGGGGAGGGAGGAATAAAACCTGTCACCCTGGCTCCCAGGCTCGTGTGTGTGGTCCCAGCCCTGGGATAGCCCTCCTGGGTACTCACCCTCAGGCCTTGCCCCGTGGGGTTCCCAGGCCTATGGGCTGGTGTGGGGTGGGGAACAGACCTAAGGCTAGTGTCCAGCCTCAGCTTGCTGTCTGCTCCACTTGCTGGCCCTGATGGAAGGGCCTGGAGCTTGCAGAAGGAAGAGCTAGGATGCCAGGGCTGAGGGCTGGGTGTGGATCACAGGCTCTGATGGGGGGGAGGGGTATGGCTCTGACTTTGCCCCTGTTGTCAGCCAGGATAGACCCACTGGGGGCCACCTGGGATAGGAGGGACTGTCTAACACCTACTCTGGCCACCTCTGCAGACTTTCTGCCCCCATACAGGTTTCCCCTGGGCCCTCAGGTTGTCAAGAGCATCCCTCTGGCCGTAACCGGGCAGGGGCCACTCTTTGCAGGGCCCCCAGTATTCCTGAGAGCTGCTGAAGGCCAGCCTGGAGCCAAGGACATTCAGGGCAGAAGCTGAGCCTGGGGTAGCTTCTCTGGTCCTGCCTTCCTCCTGGGAAGAGGGTGTGTGGGTTGGGAGGCCTTCTGCACCCGGTCTGTCTGCTGACCCCTGCCTTACCCTGTACCCCTCAAACTTTTCCCCACTTGGAGTGGTTCTGTGTTATGGGCAGGATAGGAGAGCTCTGAGCAGATGAAAGCACTGGCCAGGCAGGGTGGTCAGGGCAGGAGGTAGAGCTTTGTCCGGTGCCTGAATCCCAGGGGGATGGGCCACACTTCTGCTGGAAGAGCCTCCAGGTGCAGGGGTTCCCCCTCCAGTGGGAGAAACAGATGGGGAGCACCTGCTTTGGCCCAGGAGGGATATGAAAGGACAGAGGGCAAGGCCAGGAGGAAGTCTGGCTTTCTAGCCTCCTAGAGCCTCAGTTGTCATCTGCGATATGGGTGTGCACCAGTCACACAGTGTTCTTGGGTGGTGGTCTGGGAACGGTGCAGACCTGGGCATGGCTCCTTGGGTGTCTCAGGAACCAGCATCAGTGGGGAGCCTGCAGCTGGTCTGAGAACCAGTCAGCGTGACTTACAGGGCCAAGATGCCTGAACACCCTCGGCTCCCAGCTTCTCACGGAACCTGGGGTGGACACGGGACCCCACTAAGCCTGAGTGGCTGTGGGAAGCCATTGTCAGGGTTTCCAGAGTCACCAGGGATTTGTAGTCTGGGCTCTGCTCACAGCAGGGTGCTGTACCCTCTCTTCTGTCCTCCATCCCATGGCAGGGCTCCAGCGTGGAGGTCTTTATACTCCCTGTTGAGCATCCTGGGCCCCTGAATGCTGCTGAGCCTGGTCTGACCCAGAAGATGCTGGTGGCACCTGCTGGTGGCACCTGCTGTCCCATGGTGAGCCTGTTTCCTTAGTAGCCCCTGAGCCAGGCATCCTCAGACTATGGCCTGCGGGTCACATGCAGCTGGCCTAGGACATTTATCCAGCCCGCTGGGTGTTTTTGCCGCCGCTACCTGTCCTGCTTAGCAGCCGACTCATCCTGAGGCCTGCACTATCCTGAAGGATAGTGAACTGGCCTCCTGTTTAAACAGTTTGAGGCCCCCTGCCCTGAGCTCTTTGATAAATCTTCCCACCTTCCTCAACACCAGCCAGTGATGTCTGCCGCTGCCAAAGCCAAGGGAGGGGGTCGCTGAGCCTGAGCCCGGGAGGCTCTGGGAGGGCCTGAGGGTAAGAGGCTGCTCAGCTGGGCCACACGCTCAGCCCTACAGAGGAGCTGCTGCCAACAGGGGCTGTGCTGTGTGTGTGACCCTCATTCCAAAAAACGTGGTCTATGGCTCGGCGCCTGTGGCTCAAGTGGCTAAGGCACCAGCCACATACACCTGAGCTGGCAGGTTCGAATCCAGCCTGGACCCACCAAACAACAATGATGGCTGCAACCAAAAAATAGCTGGGCTGTGGCGGGTGCCTGTAGTCCCAGCTACTTGGGAGGCAGAGGCAGGAGAATCACTTGAGCCCAGGGATTGGAGGTTGCTGTGAGCTGTGATGCCACAGCACTCTACCCAGGGTGACAGCTTGAGGCTCTGTCTCAATAAAAAAAAAATGTGATCTACATCTAAGCATCTTATAAACTGGTCAATTCTCTCTCAGCTCTGTGCTGTCTTAAAAAAAAATATATGTGTTTGTAAATTAGCCGTGAGAACCCAGAACCAGGGAAAGGGCAAACTGGGAGTGAACCAGGGCGGAAGGCTCAGGTGAAACACAGGTGTCCCCTCCCAGACCCTTACTGTGAAGGCCTCATCACTGACCATGCTCACTTCGGCCACCAGGGTGCTCAGGCCAAGTCCCAAGCTAACTGTGCCCCCCACTGTAGCTTCTGCAGCCCTGAACCAGCCCCACCGCCCTGCCTTCCCCACCCCGGAGTCCTGTCTCTGTCCCCACCCACTGCCTGGCATCTAGTTTTCTAATTTTCAGGGGTGAAAACAGGGTGCCAGAGGCTCACACCATGTGCGAGGGTCTCTTGAGAAGCAAAGTGGAGAGAGTAGAACTAGACTCAGAGCAGCTGATGGGACGGACATGTTCATGGCACTGTGGGCCCCATTGCTAGGGCCTGCCTGGACTCCCCTTCACACCCAGATGACCAGAAACCCAACACATCAAGGGTGACCTGTCTCCCAAGACACCCACCCACACTCCGGGGTGCCTGGGTTTGGCCATTCCCTTCATTCCTGGGCACTGCACCACCCACGGCTCCAAGTTCCTGGCCCCTCCAGCAGATCAGCTCCAGCCAGGCAGTGGGGAGCCCCCAGGCCACGGCCTCTCACCGCTCCTTGGTGCCTCCAGGCAATGCTGCACCCTGTGGCCTGGGTGGCTCCCCCACCCGCCCCACCGCTACCCACACACATACCCACCCATACATGCATGTCCACATGGACTCACAGCACACAAGCTCATCTCATGCAGGTCCCCACTGCTTCACACCTCCATGCTCTGTTCACTCCCCTTCCTGGCCTCCCATCCCCTCTGCTGGCAAACTCCTCAGCTGCCTGATCCCCTTGTGGGAAGACTGGCCACACTCTCCCCAGGTACAGAGGGTTGTACCAGGACCTGTCAGATTCCCACAGACCACCCTCCACCAGCAAAAGACTTGGGCACTTTCTGGCAGAGGGGGCCTTTTTACGGGTGTCTAGAGGGACCAGCAGAGACCAACCATGAGGGGCAGGTCAGGGAACAGCGGGGCAGGAACCTCGGCACAGAGGTCCCAGAAGATCTTTTCTATAAAGGGAAGGTTGGATTTCTTCAAAGTTTGCAACAGGACAATAAAGTTTCTGTAAACGAGTCTGGTGGTGGTGCTGCCCGGCCAGGTCATCTGCCCACTGCCCCAGAGAAGGCCAGTGTTCAGAGACAGCAGGTTCACAGCAGACAAAGAGTTTACTTCACATAGTCCTCAGCGGGCAGATGGGAGAAATTTCTCAAATCCACCTCCCCAAGAATTGGGAGGACAGGGTTCTTAAAGACAGCTTGGTAGGCAGAGGGTTAGACAATCAGGGTCTGCTAATTGGTCAGTTTGGGGCAGAATCAGCAGTCCTGTGGTGTGGACCACCGTCTGTGCGGGTCAGCTAATCCACTGGAATGCAGTTCCTGGGTGGAGGGTCCAAGACCAGTTGAGTCAGTTCTTTGGTCTGGGTGGGTCAGTCCACCCACTGGAATGCAGGACCTGGAAGATATCTCAAATACTACCCTCAGGTTCCAAACAGGTGATGGAGACCTGGAGAAGTTCTAACTTCTGGAGAAGTTAGAGATCTTTACAACTACTGGCTGTGGCCTCTGGAGCAGCAATTGCAGAGAAGCAAACAAGGGAACAAGGACTAACTATCATCAGACAAGCAAAGGGCCAGTGGCTGGCTGTTGTCATGATTTAGTGATGCCTGTTCCTTCATAGGTTTGGGGACCCTTACCCTAGTTCTTTTCATCAGTCTGTAAGGGCAGTTTCATTGTCACCCGAAGCTGGTCTCAGAGGTGTCAACTTTGTCTCTGGTGTATGTTATATTTCATTCAGGCCCTTTGCCACGCCGCTGCAGCCACAGGGAGGAGGAAAAGCTGGTTTGGGGGTATGGGGGCCGCTCAGCCCCAATTACCTCCCCAGGGCCAGCCCAGCCCCACCTTCCTCCCACACTGTTCCTCTATCCGGCAGCCCCACCTCCTCCCTGAAGCCTCAGTATGCCCTTCCCTCCTGCAGCCCCCACCTGGGCTGCAGAAACCCGTTAAGAGGCTCACTGTCCTGTCCTCCCAGGCCGTCAGTATGTTTGCCGGGGTCTGGGCTGCTCCTATCCCACACATGCACACACACTATGCCGTGTGCACTCATAGGCACATACACACCTGCACACATGCTATGCTGGGGGCACTCTCAGGCACATACACACGTGCACACATGCTATGCTGTGTACACTCACACACGCATATAAACTCATATCCACATACACACTCAACATACATACTCTCTTGTGTATTCATGTACACAGACATACACACATGGTATGCTATGTACACACACACACTCAACATACTCCTGCACACTCACATATGTATATACACATGTACACATGCACACTCACAGTTCAAGAAGAACAGCCTCCCTATCCGCCCCTGGCAGGTTTCCTCTACAGAAGGGTCATGAATTCTCCCGTCACCTCCCATCTCCACAGACAGCTGCCATCTGACCAAAGACATAGAGTAAGCGGTTGTTCAGGATTCTGCCTGCATTTGTCATAGCCCTGTGTCTCAGCCCAGACTACCGTAACAAAATACCATAGACTGGTGGCTTAAGCTACTTCTCACAGTCCTTGAAGCTGGATGTCCGAGATCAGGTGCCGGCTGGAGCAGTTTCTTGGTGAGCTCTACCTCTGGGCTGTCAGGGGCTGCCTTCTTGCTTGTCCTCACATGATAGAGAGGGAGAGAGAGAGACAGAAAGAGGAGAAAGAGATGTATTCTCGCAAGGTCACTAATCCTTT